TTGATTATGGTTACGAATGTGGAGTCGTTGAGGTTTTTTTCTAAATACAAGTAGATTCCATCAAGACTTATATTAGAATATTCAAATTTACTTCCATAAGTCTCAACAAATATCTGATGATGAATTTACGAGTGTTCGTATCGAATTAAGTTGCCGCCATCTTGTTTACATTTGAGGCACCAAACGCAAACATCTTGCGGCAAATGCGAAAACATTAAGTCACATAATAAAAAAGTGTACTCTGCACAAATAATATTATTTCTTCCAAACTGATGGGTTCTGATTTTAGCGACAATTAATTGTTTTTTCGCGACAGTCTCGTGCGTAACCAACTAATCAGCAGGCAGGTTACATCAAAGTCACGACAACGGGGATGAGACGGCCCTTTATTTTGTCGTCTGTACACGACAACGGGGACCAGGATGACATATTGTTGTCGTGTGTACACGACAACGGTACGGAAAGAGTTAAGACTGTGTCAGTTTTTCAGTATCATACATTTGTATTCTAGTGCTTGCTTGGCAATACCTCACCTAGTTTTGAGCGTTCGAAAAGGTGGGGTAGGCAACAAATTCTGTCCCCTGGCTGGAACATACCAAAGTCCTTGAAAATGGTAGTTGCTATTCCTTGCTTTAAGTTTAGCTTTTAGGGTTACTTCAACAACTGTTTGTTGTCAGTATAAAGTGACCGGGTGGAATGCTGTGCTGGGTGCCCTATGCAGGTTATTTAAGTAAGAAAGCACTCTAAAAGTCGGCATCAGATCCACGATATCGTAAAGAGACAACTACATTAACATATCCGGTATCTAGCAAATATATACGCACACATAAAACACATGATCTTAGCTGTTACTGTAATAGGATGTTTAACAAAAATAAACCAAACCAAATTTTGACGCTGTGGAACTTTTTGATGTACTGTAAAGTCTTCACTGGATTAAAACAGTTGACAGATTGTGTATTGGATTATCACTGATATTTGTTTCTGTGTTATGCAGTATATTTCGAGAGTACAGTATTGTTTACAACTCTACCTGGACCAGGTCTACAGTATAAACCTTATAGTAGGCAATATTGTTATCATTAAGCTGGCTGAAGGACGTTTCTATAATTTATAATCTGATAAGTGTCCAGAGTGGTTGATTGTCAAGAGTGTTGCAATTATTGGCCAACCAAATCACTTACCAATTTATTAGCATTGGCTGTCAATTAAAACTTCTTGTCGTTAAAGTTGATTCAGGTGAAGAAGAAAAAAACTAGAATGATGTTTGTTTTAAGTAGACGTCACAATCACTTGCTCTACACATTCAAGTTAACTTCATATGAGTGAATAATTAAATAAACATTATTGAAAATCGTATAGTATGCTTGGAAATTATTGTCGTTATATAAAGCCCACCCGTGATATATTTAGTTGTCTTTAACATTGTTAGCTGAAATAGAAAATAATTAATTTGGGAAACATATCTCCAAATAGGTATTTTATTGTTAGAAACGTATTTGTGTTAATTCCATCATCTTTCTATGTCAATGAGTGATGAGTTTGTTTGTTTGTTTGTTTGATTTTGTTTAACGTCCTATTAACAGCTAAGGTCATTTAAGGACGGTCTCCCCTGTGTGCAAGATGCATGCGTGTAGTGTATGTGTGTGTATTTTGGGAGGTTGCGATATGTTCGTGTTTGTCTCCTTGTGATAGCGCGGAACTGATGCCGACTTTATAGTGCTACCTCACTGAGACATACTGCCGAAGACACCCAGCAGGACGCCCCACCCGGTCACATTATACTGACAACGGGCGAACCAGTCGTCCCACTCCTAATTTGCTGAGCGTTAAGCAGGAGTAGAAACTACCATTTTTAAAGACTTTGGTATGTCTCGGCCAGGGGACAGAACCCAAAGCCTTCCTCACAGGGGCGAACGCTCAACAAATGGCCAAAAGTGAGGCATTGTCAAGGGAGACATTAGGAAGAAGAAAGTTATTTAGAAAGGAGAGAAGAGATAAGGTCCCAAATTTAGTCGCCTCTTACGATCATGCAATTGGGGGCAGCAGGTACAATTCTTACGCCCTACCTGCAGGGACACAATGAGTGATGAGACAACTTGATATGCTTTACGCCAAAAAATGACCTCTTTCGTCATTGTAGGCCTTTAGGACAGCTTCCTTGTCTTGTGTAATGTCAGCACTGAAAACCAATTGACATTTTGCTGGAAAATAACGAGAAATTAAAAATCATTAATTTCATTTAATTACAATTTACATTGTATCTACATTAAATGTATTGAGAATCTAAATCATTTGATGCCTCAAATAAGAAATACATTGGATTTTTTTTGTGTTTTAGAAATATTCATTGATTGACATTTTGATGTTAATATCATCTTAACAATACTAAACCAATACTAAAACAAAGAAAACAGCGGAACATAAATCTACACTTACGCTTATTATATTAATGCAAAAAACTAAAACGGTAATAATTGAAACACTAACAGTGATTCCGTAAAATGATAATAACGTACCTGTCATCATGGTCGATATCATCCTCAGAGTGTTCACCTGGTCATCATATGATAAGCCAACTATGCTGTTGAGCCACAGAATAATTTTCACACCTTTCACTCGTCTGTAACAAATTCGCAAGGTAGCAAACGTCAACGTTATCGAAGACATACTTTTAAACAGATAAACCGAATGTCGGTATTCAAATAAATTAAGTAGCTAGTTCATTAACAGTTCCACAGTTTCCTACCTTCTAGCATTAGTACAAATTGGTACAGTGTATGTCGACATAACTATTATAAATTGTTTGAGATTAATGAATCTTTACAAATAACATATTATTTTTCTTTGATAAAATCACTCTTTCAATCTTTCCCAGCGTATATTCATGATACATGCATACTAACCACGTGACATAGTTATAATTTACATGATAAAAATAGGTGTTAGAATACCTACACATTAAATGGACACTATTTAAACGTTATCATAAACATCGTATGTTTTCTCATGCATCACCTGTTTAAGCATCCGATAACCATAACATACATTTTAAACATATCACAAATCCATTGAAGTTTCACTACAAAGATTACTTTTTGGAAATTGTTATAATCTCACATCTTTACCGTTTAAGGGTTTATTTTGGCAATATAATATTCTTAACAAAATGTGCCAGATATCAGCCAGAGCAATCCATAGCATATCTCTGATAAAGCATAAATTAGTATAAATGACTACAGCCTGTGTTATGCGGAATGTAAATATTGATAACTTGCAAAAAAGAACTCCTAGTATCATGGCAAGAAATAAAATGACAAAGGAAGAAAAAAGTACCATATCCTCAATATACACGTCAATTGCAACCAACAAACAATGAAACTCAACTAAAAAAAGGAAAGGAATCAAGTGAGTCTAAGACGAAACGATCCTAAACAAATGGTAAATACGAAAATAAGGTCGTGAACGTCTGAGGATTCTCTCAGGAAAAAAACCCTGTCATAATCAATTGTTTTCTAAGTAACAGTACGTATCTATTCAAGAGGTATTGGTTCATTGAACAGGCTCTGGAATAGCACATTAACTGCGACAGTCTATAATCTGTGTTTTGTCAAATCATAAAAGCATAATATAGATATAAGCTTTGTAACTTTTCCGTTTCAATTTTGGTATCGATAAGTCTTACTTCAGTTGCTCTATTCCTTGAACATGGTCCGCAGCTATAGGTGTAACAACGAGCGAGTCGTGGTAGTCCTCTGACAATTCCTTCACTGTCCTTGATAGAAAATCTGAAAAATATGGAATGCAGCAACATTTTACAGAAATATATCAACATTTCGATTGCATGTTCCTCTATAATCATTAACAGAAGAAATTGCGTTCAAAGAGCTATTAATGCGATTTGATCCGCGTCATTTTAAGCTTCCACTCTCGCAGGAGACATCATGTCCATTATAACTAAACACCATGGCGACGTTAGGATGTTGCAGGAACCTTGTTTGTGCTGACGACACGAATACTTCAATATCGAAAATGTAAAGGAATATATATATATATATAGGTCAATAATAGCTAAATCAAAGTAAAAAGATTGAACGACATTTCTACAATGCCCGTGCTTGTAGGAACACAAATCTGTCACAGACATATTTACCTGGAGCCAAAGCGTTCGTACCAGCGTAAAAACTGAAAAGAAAGCCGTTCAGTTCTAATATTGATTTATCACATACCTATGTAATCTTACAATAGTAATACAGCAATTTTCTGTTGATGTTTTCTGTCGGTTTGTATCACACATGTGCGATACAAGATGTTGTTTACAATACTAGCCGGAACTACTTTCCCCTTTTCCATCTCGGTGGTGGAAACTAAAAATAAACTGTTCATTGGATGAAATAAGCTGGAGCTGTATCTTAATAACTTAATTTAAAAATATGAAACTCGACTAGTCAGATCAACACATATGGGTGATTTGTCTATTTATAAAATCTTTGTATCGATCTCTACCAATTACGGAAGGTATGTGATAAAAGCAAGACCACACACTTGTGTTTTTCTAACGAAACAGAAAGCACTCATTCATTGCGCGGACGTATATATTCACTCGTGAATATATTCATCCGCGCAATAAACGCGTGCTCTCTGATGTTAAGAAATTTTCTATCGGCTTTTAGCATTGTATTAGTGGACAAATAACTTACGATTTGAATACGTTGGATGAATGATAATTTTCTTGCCGTCGGTAGACAATAATAAGCGCAGATATGTTAGTTATTCCTCGAATTGTGCGGAGAAACGATCAATTTCAAATACCTTCAGAGATATCTTCTGGATAAAACAACAGCGTCTTCTGTCTTCTCAGGAGTTCATTGATCACATGTCTGGTTTTGTAGCAGTTTCCGCTTCCTATGTCAACCAGGATTAGGTCATATGGTACTCGTGGAATTATGTCCTTCAAATACAAAAATGACATGTTAACCATTATTTTGCAACACTCATAGTATGTTTAGGGAGTCGTTTTAAATTACAGTGTAAGATTATCATGCGCTAATTTTACTATTTACCTATTTGTTTGTCCATATACTTGCATGCTGGAGGTCTGTTATGGTGTTTTCAACGACTTGTATATAAAAAAAAACAATATCAGCAGTCATTAAAAAACCTGCATCATTTAAAGTGTGCACAAATAGAGCAAATACCAGAGAACAGTTCCCTATGGAATTTATGTATCCACCTGTTAAACAGTTGAAGGTTGTCTCTCAGAGAAGACTCTCTGGTTTCTGTAAATTAGAGTCTTGACTTCATATTCGGTTAAGATTCAAATTTGTATATATTACCACATGAAAAACCTTATCGCAGGTCATGCTAGTTGTGTCTTTAATAGTTCCTTCTGCTTCCATTATTTCCGACTTATTTTCAACTGATCTACAATAACATGAGTGGTCTCAGGATAACCAAGCGTTCCAGCTCTACATTATTTTTAAGCATAGATGTCACAAAGCCTGAAGGAAAAAGGTCACCATGTAGCACGTCATATATGAGACTACATAGGATTTCGTTACGGTGAGGGATTAAAACTGCCTATTTATATAACGAGTGCTTGTTATCAAACTAAACATTTTTATAATGGTTCGATTAATAGTGACAATCTTAAAGTAATTATGAATATAAGCTACAGGAGCATGGAAATTCAGACGATGCAAAATGCGGTTCATGTACTTAAAGTAGAGGTTGAAGATTGGTGTACTATTCGATGCTTAGAGATACCAGCTATTGAGGTGACTTAATAATACGTTTAAACAGTGCAGGCTCAAACGTAACAGCGTGCATTTCTGTGGTGTGACTGCACATTTGTTTAGAACCAATGCACGGTAATTGACCAATGGTAATTGTCATTAAAGTTCCATTGTTCAAGATTCTCGAAAGGGTGCTACCATGCATGTTTCGGTCTGTACCTGTTCTTATCGGTATATTTTGTTGAAGGGAAAACAACTGATTCCCATAATATCAATAATATTTAAAAATGGAATAAGGGAAATATGCACTTTACATTGTACAACGAAGACCAAGTTGGCTTATACGTACCTGTACATTGTGTTGCAGAACAGACATCTGACTTCTTGTTGAATAGTAGTCCGGATTTTCCGTGGTGCATATATGCTGCAGTTCCGATCCGACATCGTCGTAGTTGTACCAAGTAGGGATATACTTAGGACTTGATGTCAGGCCTGTCACAAGGCTCTGTTTTTGGTCGTCTGTCATTTTCTTAATTTTCATACAAATAATTCATATACATTTTAATCAGTTGTTGATGATCACACAAGCAATATTATCCCTATGTTTCGTATTCTTGTTATATTGAATAACTTATTAACATCACATTTTAATTATCAAATATATGATATCTGTATACAAATAATTTTATATCATTCTGAACAATTTTTAAACAATGAGTAAGATATGAGTTTTGGAAACTGGTGCTGCAACTGGTTTGCCATTTTATTCAACCCTATTTATAAATATCTACAGCATTTATGAATTATGTAATGTACAACATGACTATGGGCCATGCATTACCTGTATTACATTTGCTCACGTTGTATTAATGTGGAATGCATACATATGCAAGACCACAAACTTGTGTTTTTCTAACGAATCAGAAAGCACGAGTGTATTGCGGGGACGAATATATTCACGAGTGCGCGGAGCGCACGAGTTAATATATACTTCCGCGCAATAAATGAGTGCTTTCTGATTCGTTAGAAAAACACCAAGTGTGTGGTCTTGCTTTTATCACATGCCTTTCGTATTTGGTAGAGATCGATACAAAGATTATATAAACTTTGATATGTTTTGCAAATACCGGGAACATTTCAGTTCGCCATGACAAGGTGATTCCCATAAAAAGTAGTTCCGGTTAGTAGGTAAATACAACATTCCGTATTGCACATGTGCAATACAGAACGTTGTATTTCATGCTCTGAAAATTGCTTGTATTACTATAACAAGAGTCAACAGGTATGTGATCAAGTTTAATATGACACTGCAATGTCGACGTCATTTAAGGTTCAGTGGAAAACTGATGGTTTTAGAAACAAACAGGCTTCTCCCGTCAATAGTTAAGGTAATTTAAATACGTGCCTGCATGTGTTTTGTGTATGAGTGCAAGTGTTAGAAAGGCAGGGTATGTTGGTGTGCTTGCCTCTTTGTGATAGCGCAGATCTGATGCCGACTTCTATAGTGCTGCCTCATTGAAATACCATCCGAAGCCACCTAGAGCCCTGTCACATTAAACTGCCAACAGGTGGACCGGTTATTGCAATTTCCCCGCATTATAAACGTTAAGCAGGGAATTGCAACTACCCTTTCAAGGACTTTTAGTATGTCCCGGCATGGGGACAAAGCCCAATGGGTTCCTCACCTGGACAAACTTTCAGCATCAGAGTCAAAGTCAAAAGTGTCAAGAAGGCGTTAAGAAACGAAAAGTAGTTAGTAGTAGGGAGAAACACAGAGATTCCAAATATTGCAATGGGTGCAGCAGATTTATTTTTGTCGATTTTGTGTCCCCATGTAGAGGGCATTTCTGCAATTCTCCAATTCTGCATGGGATATCCTTGATTAGTGCCTCTACGTTCAGAATGATATTTGGAATGTTGAACACAATTTCTAAATGTAAGAAAGAATAGACATCAAGATAAGCTTATAGATGTAGGTAGAATATAGAAACATACGTAACATTCAAATGTATATGTTTAAACACTAAACCGTTTATACCTGTGTAGGGGTGTGTACAATAGTACATGTGTAGGGATGTGTACAATAGTAAATATGTAGGGGTGTGTACAATATTACCTATGTAGGGGTGTGTCGATATTACCTGTGTAGGGGTGTGTACAATAATACCTGTTTGGTGTGTGTAATAGTACCTGTGTAGTGGTGTGTACAATAGTACCTGTGTAGCTTGTGTACAATATTACCTGTGTAGGGGTGTGTACAATAGAACCTGTGTAGGTGTGTACAATAGTGTACATGTGAAGGTGTGTGTACAATAGTACCTGTGTAGGGGTGTGTACAATAGTACCTGTGTAGGGGTGTGTACAATAGTACCTATGTAGGGGTGTGTACAATAGTACCTATGTAGGGGGTGTAATAGTACCTGTGTAGGGATGTGTACTAGTACCAGTGTAGGGATGTGTAAAAGTACCTGTGTAGGTCTGCATGCATTTTAAAACAGTCATATACATATTTGAATGTGAAAATGCTATATATTTGTTTATGGGAAGAAGGAATATTCTTCATATTATTAGTATATTCGGTAATGATGATCAAACATATTCGTTATTATGTATTTTCAAGAGATATATTGCAAGCCTTACTATGACATCATGGCGTACCTGCATGTTATGTTGTAATACAGTCAACTGGCTATTAGTAAGGCAGTATTCCACGTGATGAAGCTTGGATCCAGTCTCGTCGCAATTGTACCAAGTGGGAAAATATATTTTGGACTGGAAGTCAATCCATTTACTAAGATCTGTTACACATACTCTAACATACTCTGATTTTACATATTATGGACCCTGTAATGCTTGATATTATCTTACAATGATTGAACATGGCTCTAAACTACTAATATTCACATATTCTAATCCAATCAAACTCAACCTTTTTACATCTTAGCTACTATTATGTATGCACGTACCTATTAACTACCTTCAGATACATGTAATGTAATAGGCATATGGTGGAGATTCCAACTATCTCACAACGGAATACATTTAATTAAATATTTCCACGGCACTAGTAGTGATACACTTTCAATTAAAATATCTTTAAAATTTTATATACAAATTGTATGTATACATTTCAGGTTACATCAAAACATTAATCAATGCCTGAAATTCCAATCAATATTGCAAAAATGAATAATATTTGTATTGATTGTTTAGAAAATTGCATGGGATAAATATGATACATATACACGTGTCTCAAAATGAAAAAAGTGTTTTATTTACTCATTATCCGTCACAGTATCACTATAGGTTATTGTAAATCTTTTTATAATAAATTAAGTTCAATATTGCCTTTGATATTGAAATATTGAACAAACTGAACAGCACTTAATGCCTTAAAGTCTCTAATATACATATAGTATAAAATATATAAATGTACATGATCGTATAAAATCAATATGTGTGTATCATAATTTAAACATATAGTGCTTCACTGACAACATATTTTCTGATGTGTACTTCAAGGACCCTCCGTGCAACTGCAAACGTGTTAAATGTGCTTGCGCATCGGAAACTGTTTTTTTCTTGCATGACTATAGCTTTGAATGATCATTTTAGTAAAGAAAATCATACGTTGTGGAAATTAGATAAAAAGTCGTAAAGATGAAATTAATCAAACATAATTTACAACAGGATTCTGAGTGTAAATTTCGTGACCGGAACTCGAACCTATTTACAGCTAAGGTCAGAACGTGCCTCCAGGTGTTAAGTGTATGCGTGCTTGTTTGTGTGCATGCAGGGTACATGGTTTATTGTTGTTCTTGCCAATTCTTGCTGTCAAAAGAACTGTAAATGCACATTGTCATTGATATGACTGGGGATACAGAAATGACTGGTATTTACTTATTTGTTGAACAGAAAAAGTGTCTGGATATCTTAAAAATGGATACAGATATATGACAGGACACGACCGTAAGAGGGAGTAATGTTGACTGATGCCCCCCTCCCTCGGCCCATGGTATATGCTATGTTATGTCAGACGAAGACTCGACAGTACAAACTGAATAGAAACTAACGCGTGATTGCCAAAGTGTTTCGTTAAAATATACTCTCAATTACCATTAATAGTGCAGCATCACATAGCATTAAGCTTTAGGTTTTTTTTGGTCATATAAGGTTATTTAATGAGTGCATCCATATGTATTGTGTAAGCATGCATGTGTGTATGTTTCCCGGAGACAGGGTATGTTGGAGTACTTGTATGATCTGATGTCGATTTAATAGCGCTATCTCACTGAAGTATCATGCCGAAGGCAACCTGCACAGCATTCCGCCCGGTCACATTATATTGACAACGAATAAACGAGTTGTTGTCATTACCCTTAACACCGAACGTTAAGCAGGGAATAACAACCTATATTTTTAAGTACTTTCGTATGTCCCAGCCTGGGAACAGAACTTATTGCCTTCCTCACTTGGGCGAACGCTCAACTTTAAAGCCAAAAGTGAGGTATTGCCAAACAAAAAGATTGCTAGAAGTAGAGGGAAATGGTACGATCCGAAATATATTGCAATTGCTTTTGTGTCCCCAAGTAGAGGGCACAAAAGAAAATCCCTTATTCTGCAAGGGGTTTCCACATAAGGCGGCTCTGACGATATATTCAGTAGGTAACAACAGGTGAATTACTTCTACATTTCCGACCTGCAGCGGTGGCTTTTGGAGTGAATTCACGGAAATATCGAATATTTTGTGTGTAAAGGTAGTAAAGGATATTATTTTTTCAAATAGTAATATTTCATAAATAATTCATCACTTTGTATCGATTGCACATTGTTTAGAACTAAATGTTTCACAATACTGCATTTTTTAAATTGAAAAGAGAAGTAGTACATTAGATTTACAAATACCGTTTTCATTTAGTTAGTGTCAAACATAATTGTAATGTTGATATATATAGTTCTTGACAAAAACGTATGTTGTTTATATGACCAAATGTAGCACAAACAACGTGATTTGATTATACTTTGTAAACTAATTGTATATACATGTTACGTTTCTTCATAAAGATTATACACTTACCTCTTTGGTAAAACTCATTTTGAACAATTCACACCACAAGTTGATCAGCTTGTCGACAGTCTACTTGTTGAAGTGCGACTTGTTCATGCAATATATATATTGCCTTTAATTACATCGTTTTTTACACATGATATTAGCAAACAATAGATCGATATTCAAATCAGTTGTGATGTCAAATTGAAATTCACCTGCAGACTAACATCCCCTATGTTGCATCAAAGTAATAATTTAAAACATCTTTTTGATTGTGGAATCCCGCCTTTGTCTAGTACATCTGTTACTTCACGAAATTGTAGAATAATCTTTTGAAACATCTTTTTAATTTTAGAATCCCGTCTTTGATGTATCAAAACCGCTTTATTTCGTTTTAAGCGACGTGCTTTCCTCAGGAAGAGACAGTCTTCAAAAATATTATGATGCACCTTATTCTCGTCGAAGTATACTGTGTATTTTCATTCCTCGTGATAGCATTTAATCTCATCGTATATCATCACGTTTTTGTGTGAATCTAGTAAACACGACATAACGAAACGTGACTTAGCAAGATTAACATCACACTACGTATTTCGTAAACTTGTGAGGGTGAAAATCTGATCAGATTATTATTATTAATGTAACAATTATATGTGCAAAATATATCTTGCTATTTTAGTATTATTTCAAAGCTAAAACCTAAAATTAAAGAAAAGGTTTACATAATCCTTCTCTTTAGATTACGACAAATGCCATTTAGACTTTGTTTTTATAATAAGATGTCTCATTTTTATAGTAACAGACACTTATAAATTACGACCCTTGCCTTATTCCCCTTTCGCATTTTGATATAAATATTTGTTTTTATTTGACATTTGATTCTATTTTTACGTTTTGATTAACAAAATTGTTGGTGATGTTTCATCAATTTGGGCTTACATGTCGCTGCACTATGTTTTATAACTACTGCTACATGTAGGTGTAAAGAGCTACTGGTTAACCTCAGGTTTTACCCAATTTGAAAATCCCGCTTTTGATATGTCTCTATCCTACACGCCTGGGCATGAAATTAGTCTAACATTATATCTACGAACGGCAATGTACAACAGATATGCAATTACAGCATCATCTGCAAAATTAGTTCCTTTAGTAATATTTAGATGCTATATTGTAAAGGCATACTTTACAGAATGTGTGCCACAGAATAATCTGAATTGATAATTTCGCGTAGAAGAAAAATCAAAAATAAATCGGCGATAACAGCTTAGTAATCCATTTTTACTAGTGTCATGGCTTATTCAGCAGTTTAGCAAGTTTTGTCTGTCGATTTAATACAAGTAAAAATAATACAATAAGTCATCATCATAAACAAAGTCGAAAAACACTATCTTATTACATGTACCACTATTGTAAACATAATTGAACGCAGTTCCTTACGGAAGCCTACCTTTCTGTCAACAGTGTAAATACCACGAGTCAAACATATAAAATATGTATTTTTATCACTTTTAAGATACGAGTAAATGTTGATGGAATTCACCAAAAGCATGTTGCCATATTGTTTGTCTATAGGTGTCTGCTACAATGATGTTGTAACGTTGTTACAGTGTGTAGGAATATGACCTGAACAGGCAAATTTGTAAGTTTATTATAATCATGCCATATCGTTTTTATTGCACGGCAATATTGAACCGGACATCATATCATAATAAAGTAATTATAATACGTGGTTTTTTTTTAATTGAAAACGAGGGTTATATAATGTCGGAAAACATAATCAGACATTGCTGCTGCAAATCATACAAGAAGTGGCTGTCATCAATATCCCCCGCTCTGTAGATAAGTAAATGGTCATGTCTGCATACGCTTTGTAATAATGAATAGAGCGCTCATACTTTCAAACCAAATGTAGAAAGCAATATTGTGTAAACGCATAAAAGTTATTTTCACTGTTGCAAAAGTATGAAAAATATCTGTTTTTTTTTAAACATTGAAAGTATAAACAAAAGTAATATCTATGCAGCAATGTTGGCTACCAACATATGGGTAAACCCATTCTTCCTAATCTGAAACGGTACATGAGTAAGACAATTCCTTCTGCGCATAGTCACTGGGACATACAAATTTGGTCGAATAGGAAGGGTATTATCAACGTTAGACTTATATTGACTTAACAATTCATATTAATGTGATATATGAGGGAATGATAAGAAAGTCACCAGAGCGTGTGAAATTCAGCATCTGTTATACGTAAAACGGCCCTGGCTTGTTTCATTGATGCATAGCATATCCATGCATCACCTATTGTTACCCGAATATGCATTCGGAAAATATCTTTTGTGGTATATCACGGCGGATATAAAGAAAGTCACTGGAACTTTAGATAGCAATACAATGAACATCATCGGCAACGTGCATTCAGTTAACAAAACCTTACTTGCATCGTCAATCCAATTAGTATACACATGTACCTGTACTCATTGGTCTTATTGTAGGTACTAGAAATTGATTTAATAATTCTCCTTAATGTGCATAGATAAACGGGTCCAATTTCTTTATCTTCAGTATGCCTCGTCAAGCGGCAACAATGATTAATAACATTTCTCAAAATAACATTTATTTCAGCGGTTATATCATCACAAACATTTTTTTTAACAGCAGGTCTACATATTAACCCTAAAACATTTACTGCAGTTAATACAAATTGTTAATACAAATTGGTAATTCTAAGTAATGTAAGCAAACCAGAGTAAAATAATTAGTCTTTTAGTGCTGCAGGAGATCTAAAAAAATGATAGGCTCTTAGTCTATTTTATTTCTCGGTACCATGTACAATTTGAACCCAGTCACTGGTTTCCCGTGTTAAAAACAAAAGGTACTTTCAATATAAGGGAATATCCCTTATCGATAGCCTTATGTATCTTATGTTAAACTGAAAGTGGGAATTACCAATTGTCTATTTTTAACCTGTTGTGAAATAACCAGGCTCTGACAAACAAATACCATCAGTACTGTAGGAAAACGACAGTTTACCGGCAGATGTTCCATGAATTTAGTACTCCGATTATGTTAGAAGTTGATCTCGGTCTGAAGAGAAACTTTTGACAGACATCGTACGAAACAACAAACCGAGTCAACGTATATTATATACCTAGCGTTTGGACACAATAGGGCTATCTTCACTGCAGTGTGTATTTTGAAAAAGGACTCAACTTGAGAGGCACGCTAGGATTTTATACGTTTCTGAATCATTCTTGGAAGTTTCTGTCGTTCGTGAAATGTGGAAAGAATATGTAATTTTGAACAGGCGCTTTTTGCCTGCATGTACTGTCTTGTGAACTGGGGTTTTACTCTCGCATTTTGGATCAAGAGAGATAACTCGTATTTAAACACTACTTAAATGGATATAACGTAGACTTGTTTTGACAACAGTTGATATAAACATTGTCGTCCGATAACACAGATACTGTAATGACGACAACAGTGGATCCCTTGATTCACCGAGAGCTGGGAGTCCCGTAGTCTTTCACAACACGTCATGGGCGACCCTTAGTTGAATCAATACTGGTAGGTGTAACCTCATTGATTAATTTATTTTGTCAAACATATGACAATAGGAATACAAATACTAAATGATAAGTACCAGAACAAGTGTGCATGTCTACGACATTTCTAGATCAATTTAAGCCGGTGTCTGAGTCATAGGAATTTGAATTTGAATTTCTATTCATGTTTTTATATTAAAATATCAATGTCGAAAAACTTATTGTGATTAAATATGAAGTAAAAACCATAAAGTAGTAGTGTAAAACACTTTTCCCCTTTCCCCTCTGCATCAGTGGAGTCACCCCTGAACAACCTATTACGTGACCCTACCGTAATTTTCCTCGTATTAGAAATTCAGATTCATATTATCTGGTATGTTTGACAACCAATTTTGATCTATTTATCAAAAAAAAAAATGTTTCAAAAGATTAGATTACAAAATCCGACATGACATAACTTCCGTTTGTCGGCATTGAGGAGTATCGAAAGTGATTGACAATATCAAAATATAGCAAATGTTGTTTATTTATTTTAATAACTGTGTATATTGTAACAAAATGAGCTAAAGATGGGTATTTTGACCCATTTTCAAGGTCACAGAGGTCAAATGTTTTAAAATCTTTAAACAACTTCTTCTCAATAACCGAAAGGCTCAGGATACTGATATTGGGCCTGTAGCATGCTCGGATGAAGGGCTACGCAGCTTGTTCAAATGAATGACCTTGACCCACTTTCAAGGTCACAGGGGGCAAATATGTTAAAATCCTCAAACAACTTCTTTCCAAAAACCAAATGGCCTAGGGTACTGATATTAGGCATGCAGCATGCTGGGATGAAGGGCTACCAAGTTTGTTCAAATTAATGACCTTGACCCACTTTCAAGGTCACAGGGGTCTAATATGTTAAAATCTTGAAACTAATTCTTCTCAATAACCAAAATGTCCAGGGTACTGATAATGGGCCTGTAGCATGCTGGGATAAAGGACTATCAAGTTTGTTCAAATTAATGACCTTGACCCACTTTAAATGTCACAGGGGTCAAATATCGTAAAATCTTCAAACAACTTCTTCTCAATAACCGAACGGCCCAGGATACTGATATTGGGCCTGTAGCATGCTGGAATAATGGACTACCAAGTTTGTTCAAATTAATGACCTTGACCCACTTTAAAGGTCACAGGCGTCAAATGTCTTAAAATCTTCAATCGACGTCTTCTCAATTACCGAAAGGCACAGGGTACTGAAATTCGGCCTGTAGCATGCAGGGATGAGGAACTACCAACTTTGTTCAAATGAATGATCTTGACCCACATTTAAGGTGACAGGGGTCAAATATAGTAAAATCTTCAAACAACTTCTCAATAACCTAAAAGCCCAGGCTACTGATATTGGGCCTGTAGCTTGCTTAGATGAAGGGCTACTAAGTTTGTTTAAATGAATTACCTTGACCCACTTTCAAGGTCACAGGGGGCAAATGTCTTAAAATCTTCAATCGACGTCTTCTCAATTACCGAAAGGCACAGGGTACTGAAATTCGGCCTGTAGCATGCAGGGATGAGGAACTACCAACTTTGTTCAAATGAATGATCTTGACCCACATTTAAGGTGACAGGGGTCAAATATAGTAAAATCTTCAAACAACTTCTCAATAACCGAAAGGCACAGGGTACTGATATTGGGCCTGTAGCTGGCTTAGATGAAGGGCTACTAAGTTGTTTAAATGAATTACCTTGACCCACTTTCAAGGTCACCGGGGTCAAATGTCTTAAAATCTTCAAACCACTTCTCAATAACCAAACGGCCCAGGGTACTGATATTGGGCCTGTATCATCCTGGAATAAAGGGCTACCATGTTTGTTCAAATAAATGACTGACCCTCTTTCAATGTCACAGGGGTCAAATATGTTAAAAATCCTGAAACGAATTCTTCTCAATAACCAAAATGTCCAGGGTACTGATATTGGGCCTGTAGCATGCTGGGTTAATGGGCTACCAACTTTGTTAAAATGAATGACCTTGACCAACTTTAAAGGTCACAGGGGTCAAATGTCTTAAAATCTTCAAACAACATCTTCTCAATAACCGAAAGGTCCAGGGTACTGATATTGAGCCTGTAGCATGCTGGCTTAATGGACTACCAAGTTTGTTCAAATTAATGACCTTGACCCACTTTATATGTCACAGGGGTCAAATGTCTTAAAATCTTCAATCGACGTCTCCTCAATAACCGAAAGGCCCAGGGTACTGAAATTCGACCTGTAGCATGCAGGGTGGAAGGGCTACTAAGTTTGTTTAAATGAATTACCTTAACATACTTTTAAGGTCACAGGGGTCAAATGTCTTAAAATCTTCAAACCACTTCTCAATAACCACACGGTCCAGGGTACTGAAATTGGGCCTGTAGCATGCTGAGATGAAGGACTACCAAGTTTGTTTAAATGAATGACCTTGACCCACTTTCAAGGTCACAGGGGGCAAAAATGTTAAAAACCTTTAAACGACTTCTTCTTATTAAGCAAAAGGCCAAGGGTGATGATATTCGGCCATTAACATGCTGGGATGAAGCCTACCAAGTGAATGACCTTCGCCCATGTTCAAGGTCCCAGTGGTCAATATGTGATTAATTCTTAAATGATTTGTTCTGTATAACCAAAAGGTCCAGGGTATGATATTTTGCCAGAAGCATGCTGGGTTTGAAGACTATAAACTCTGTTCAACCACTGTCCTTATTCGACTTTCAATGTCACAGGCGTCATATGTTTAAATCTTTGAATAGGTTCTTATGAATCAAACACTGATATTCTGAATGTAGCTGTATTTTAGTCCACTTTTAAGATTACAAGTGTGAGATTAATACCAGGTGAGCAATGCATGCCCTTTGGACCTCTTGTTATAATATGTACTGATATTCGAATCAGTTTTTATACTAAACTGAATTTCTCATTCAGATAAACATTCCCTATATTACATCAATGTTATATTTGGATTATTTTTTCATTGGGTCATAAAGATGACTCAGCTGATGATTTCAACACCGATTAAGAGGCGGAATGTATAAACATCATATGCCTTTATGATTTTTGACAGCTGACTTTACTGATTCGGAAAACTGTGACTTTGTGAGTTGGTTAAGAGTCGAGATACCGGTCATTTGCACTCTTTGCTTGACAAATTGCTCAATTTCTGTTTGTGTTCAAAACAAACTTATCCTCTTCTGCTTCTTTAGTTATATATCTATTTATGAAGTGAATACAACCATTTCAAATATTTGCATATTAACTCATTTCATGCGTCCTGGGGCGATTATGATTGGTTGACCGCATCATGATTTCCCCCGATAGTAACTTATTTCGCACTACGTCTCGTAGTAAACATGACGGACGCAAAATGTCCAGTTTGGTTCCATGGAAATGTGCATTCTGTTTTTGGAGGAAAATTATGGTGGACATTTCAGCATAAACATCTATCAACAAACTTCCATATCACTTTCCAAAACAGTAAATTGACGTAGGATTTTCGAATCGGACAGTTATAGTCAGTCTCAGTGAAGCTCTTGACACCTCAAATTTGACGCTTTGGAATGTCTAGCGCTGTGACGTAGTGTGAACCGTGTGAACGTGTTGCTCTGTTTTGTTAAGAATTGTCTCCAATTGATGAAACATCACCAATAATTTTGTAAATCAAAACGTAAAGATAGAGCAAATGTCAAATAGAAACCAAATATATATTTAAAGGAGCTTACATGAGTTTCCATGTAATATGAGATTAATGAAACGAGTCTAATATTTATATTTAATCCATTTTTGCAATGCCTTGTACAAATTTAGAGCTTTAGTTGAAATTTGGAGACAATTCTTATAATATAAACAATCACACCATCATTAATTGAGATATATAATAAACAGTAGAATTTTCAATTAAACTTCTTTTCAAAAACGACTTGTTAGTAATATATTTAAGTACCTTGTAGCCTTGTTCTTTTGCTAAAATTGTATTATTTACAGTTTTCATTGTACGAATAACAGCGTCCCGTATAACAGATGCCGGTAAACTTATTTTGTTGTTAATATAAACGGACATAAATCTATAATAAACATCAAGAGAATACATTGTCGTTTGTTGGTATTAACGGGAAAGAAACGATCAACTAAAAAATACGTATGATTAAAACAGTTTCAACCATTCCACTGTTTAAAGTTACTTATGTTGTCCCAAATAAAAAGATTCAAACGAGATTAGAAAAATATCCGTCATCTGATATCAAAAGGACGGTGAACTAATGACAATGTCTGGTAACACCTCTAAGATAGATGAATTAATGGATGAATAAATTATTCATCCATCCATCCATCAGTTCTTCTATTCGTTTTCTAGTGAGGCTGCAAAATAGGGAACTGTGACTGGGGAAACCCCGACCACGAGAGAGAAAATGATGGTATTTCCCCATAATGTGATACATAGTAACAAATCAGAAAAGCTGTTAAGTAGAAGTGGTATAATTACATTGCTTCATGCTTACCGTTTCATCTTTTTTAGAGAAGGTATATAGAAGAAACAGAAATTGTTACAAAGAGATAATCAATCTAAAATAACTGGAAAAAAAATACATTGCATCATGATTTTATTTATTTATTTACAGTACACTGCACGTACATGAGATGGCAGATCAGGGCGAGCATCACAAAAAGTCATGGATTCTTCACCACATCCTTGACAGAATGATAGGGAGCCGGGAGATTGTGGCCTTAAGAAGGAAAATGATACTTGTTCAAGAGTATGTGAAGAATTCCGAGATGTCAAGTATGTTAGTCTTCGAAACAGGAAGCATGAGTGAGGGATTTGTAATGAAGGGATCAGATAGAGATGCCATGGGTATATACCCAAACATTGAAGTTATATGTCCCAACCAGAACACTAGTTTTCCATCAGACAACAGAAACATGACCATTTTCGTTATGAGAAACGACGATTGCCGATCTTGTTATGTACCTTTAGAAGTAGTAAAATTAGAACGATCAACTTCTGTCACGACGGAATATCTTGTCCCAGTTCAAGATAAACTTTTCATATCCAGCGAAATTTACAAGCAGTTAATAAAAGATGAATTCAATGCTCAGTATCCTATGGACGTTGAAATCCATGGGCCAGCTTCTTCGGTGAAGAATAAACAGAGTAATTTTGGGATTGATACTGATTTTGCCATTTCGTTCCGTTGTAAGTGTTGGCCACCGAAAGCCAACGAGTGGTTGAGTAGAACTCGTCAGCATGGTTGGCCAGGAGAAGTATTGGTTAATAATATTTCACAAAGTGGTTGTCATGTTGTTCCTATTGGGGATAAAACTTCTCCTAACACTTCCCTCCAATGGAGGATATCATTTGCGACAGCAGAAAGGAAACTGATTCATTCTCTCAGCCATGAACAGTTTTTAGTATATGGACTTCTCAAGTATTTCCTAAAACAAATATCTGGAATATTGATAGAAATCGGCGTTGATGAAGATATTCTTTCTTCGTATATCATGAAAACAGTTATATTTTTTGCAGTGGAAAGTACACCGCATTCATTATGGAAAGAACAAAATACCTTCCCGTGCTTCATTCTTTGCTTAGATATATTGATTAGCTGGGTAAATGCAGGATACTGCCCTAATTACTTTATTGTAAGCAACAACATGTTCAAAGGGAAACTTCATGGTGGAAATCAAGAAAAACTTCTTCGTTTTCTCATGGAAATGCACGAAATGAAATGGATGTGTCTTTCAGTTGGAACATTTATACAGCCTTCTATTGGAGTACGTATTCAGAGAGTATTTAACGGAGAATGGAAAGACATTTTACTGGCACCTAATTCAACAGAATTTGAATGTGACCTTGCAATATTCAGAAAATCTTTGCCTCAAAAATTGTACAGTATTCTCGATCACTTGCTCTCCTATCTAAATCACAGTCGGACATTGATGAATTTATAAGTTACTACCTCACAGTTAAATCGCTGTCTTTGTTAGGGACGGAGACATTTGAGGAACAAAATGCTGCAAGAGGGAATAAAGAGAAGTACAAATCTCTAAGGAAATGCAAAATCTTTATGACACCAATCGCTTCAGTGTGTACAAGTCCAGGACTAATGGTGTTGGCAACATATTACTACCGGACTGGAAATTACACTAAAGCACTAACGGCGTGTGGGAACATGCTATCGTCATTCAAATGGTGTCCTAGAAGAGCTTCAAGTAAAGACAATGAGACGTATCTACAGTTATATTGTTGACGTGGATACACACTCTTACACAAATGTCAGGAGTCAATAGCATCTAATTTATTCGTAAATGACAAACTTTCAACATTCTATCCATCCAAATTACGCCAACATTTCACGACAAATCGCTATTGCGCCTACATTCCTCCACTCCCCTACGCTGTTTTCCTGTCCTTTCTCTGTTACCATGAATTTGGCGACAGGAAAAGGCGTGACGCGGCATTAACTCAACTTCGGATGGTGAAGTATGACGAGCATCAGGGAGGTAGTGAGTTCTGGATTGTCCACAATCTCCTTGGAATCTGCTATGAATTGGTTGGTGACACGCGTAGGGCCATCAGAGAATATAGAGAATCTCTAAGCGGAGGCAAAATCTTGCAACAGTTCAACCCGGCGAGGGAGAATATTACACGGTTACTACACTCAAAAGGGGAAGCCTTGTAAGGACCACCAGTAAAACAGTTTGCCTTTGAAACGAATATTGTAATTTTCCTGTCACATACAGTAAAATTGACATGCTTTATGGGAACTTAAGTTTGACATGTTAGTTGAATTAACGTTTGTGAAAGCTATGTTCCTAGATTTGTGATTTTTTGAAGTACATTTGATCAGGCAATGCCCATCAAGTCAGTAGCTTTATGTATGTCTACACTTTTGTATATAGTTTGTACAGTTTTAGAGCAGATGGTGTTATAAAACGCTTATTCTTTTTTGAATTTTCAAGGGTAGGTGTGTAACCTTTATTTGAAATGTATAGTATTTCTTTGTAGATTTTAATGTATTATTAATTCACCGTGAAATAGTTTGAAGTCAGATTTGACACAAGGACATCAAGATGAAATGATTTGTATAAAAACAAAATGAAATATAAAAAAATAACTTCCCACTAAAACCTGGATACAATACCAAGGGTTCAAGAAGGGTAAGCGTTTTTTTGCACAATTTTTAATTGTACCATAGACGTATACACTATACAAACTATTATAATTATGTATAACCCTATCTGATGATTTAATACCTTATAGTGTAATAAGTGTCGTAAACTACAGATCGTGAGAACTTTTTAAAAGGTAATCAACATAAAATTGAGGCGGAGTTAGTCATAGCTTATGCAAATTTCAGGCTATTATTTTTATTGAACTGATCACACGTTACAATGTTCTGACAATTAAATTTGTTACCGCTAATCAGACTTGTAAACAATAAAAAAATAAACCATTCACGTCTATTCAATTAACACGTGTTCAACTGAAGTAAACGCCGCATTTCAACGTAAAAAGGAAAATATTTCTTCATTATAGATCAAAAAAAAAATGACGTAATGCATGAAAATGCGATATGAATAAATAATTGTAACTATTCTGTACTAAGTACAGCTGGTCAAAAAGGTACAAAATGTGTCAATGTTCAAGAGGTAGAATTCACTGGTAGACTGACATCTAAACAATTACTTGGGAAGAGTATTGTTCAGTTCTAATCTTGCACTCCATGCAAGTTAGTTATGATGAATGAGACATGCATATTTGTATACAAAGTATTGCCAAGTATTTGTTGTAAATGCGATAGTGTGTTGGCATTTATTTATTGATACACTCAAACTACAATTCAAACTGTTACATGTACACGATGCAATATACATTTTACTAAAAGCTTGTGAAACCTTGACATGGCTTGTTATATGATAAACTGTATTTGAAAAGTGGTTACAATTATTCTGTATCATTAAGAAAAAAAAATCATCTTTTATTAATAATGTTTCATATGTTGTATATTCGGTTGCAATAAAAACAAAGCAAAACACACACACACACGTATAACATAACAATGCATGTACAAGATGATGTATTGCTGACTTATTAATCAAGTTTTGTATTTGTTACGAATGCAAGGAGAAAATTATTATTTTTGATAGCTATTAGAACTATCGGGGTCCGTATTCATGAAACCGTTCTCATGCTCAAGCAAGAATTCAATGCTCAAACCAGTTTTTTTTGTAACTCGCTGAAATCATGTCAAACAATCAAAAAGTCAATTATTAACATTGTTAACATTATTTGGGTTTCAGTCTCTCTCTTCAATTATAACCGGAACAAGAAATCAGGCTTGAGCGTAAATCCGTTTTTGAGCATGAAAACCGTTTCATGAATACGGGCCCTGATGTTTTATACTTTGCCGAATCTGGCGCGTGTGTTAATGTCAGGGGATGTATATTAAGTAAAATGACATTTGAATGGTCCAACCCTGAATGTCGGGGATTGAGAATATAATAATACACCTGCTGTTAACTACTAGGTGATCATAAGAGACGACTGATGTAGGAACCCGATTCAGAATCGGAGCTTTGCGTTTTGTACCCTCTACTTTGGGGCATAGAAGCGACCAAAGTAAACCTGCTGCACTCATTGCAATATTTTGGACCTTTGTATTTTTCTCTGCTTCTTACTACCATCTGTTTGCAATACTTTATTTGTTACTTTAATGTTGAACTTTCGCCCCGGCTTGACCAGGACATACCAAAATGATTAAAAATGGTAGTTGTTATTCCCTGCTTGAATTCAGTGAGGTAGCACTAAAATATGTGCATCAGATCCGCGCTATCACAATGAGGCAAATACACCAACATATCCTATCTCAATCGCACAAACACACCTGCATGGATACACAACACATATTTGAAAAGTCCGTAAATGACCTTAGCTGTCGGTAGGACGTTAAACCCTATACAACCAACACGTGATCGGTCAGTCACCCAATTAATGTATAAGCATCTTAGTCTGATGCGTGACAAGGATAGTTTACCTGCATCGTCGCTGTAGGCCTTCAAGATGGCTTCTCTGTATTGTGTGATGTCAGCACTGAACACCAGTCGGCATTCGTCTGCAACACAATCAAATATAGTCTGGCAATTTTTCGCTTGCGTTGTATTATGTAATATGGGTGTCATTTTTGTTTATTTGAACAAAGAGCAGATGTGAAATCATTTTGTAATTAACATCAATCAAACCACAGATTCAGCATCTAATGCAATGAAATAAATATATAAAAGAGCAAAAATATATAAAGGTAAAGGAAAGACGTGAGGGCAAAAAAGAAGTTCAGCTGGGTGCTTTAGAGAAGGAAGTAGCTCAGGCAAGACATATGGCGCCCATGACTTGTTCTTCTTGTGTGTTAAATTCAAGGACTCGTGGTCAGGTTGATGGCTTTGTTATTTATTTCAATTAAAATACTGACAAACTATTATTAGGCTGATTATTCACAAAACACATTGACTTTATATTAAACATAAATCTGAGGTTCAGATATTCCGTATGATTTAAAGAAATTCTGTGATTATCGGTGCATGAACGAACACGTAGATATCACACAGTGGAGGTGTAGAGAAACAACAATCAGCCAGTCTAAAGTGTTAGTACATCAAAATGATATTTCAGTTAGATATTAAAAGTAAATGCCTACCTATCATAATGGAAGATATCATTCTGAGAGCGTTCACTTGGTCATCATACGAAAGGTTGATCATACTGGCAAACCACAGAATCACTCGTCTGAAACATATTAAACATATTAAAATAGACCTATTTCCCCCAAATTTGATAACAATATATACATACCCGATGAGTGATAGATGTTTTTGTCTTATCCTAAGGTAAAAAAAGGATTCCTCAGCTATAACACTTGAATGACGTCACGTCAACAACTCATTGACGTCTAGCAAGCAATAGCAGATGACGCAGATAACTCACTGGATTTGCAGGAAAACCGAGCAATTATTTGAGGTTGGAGGAAGAAAGAATTTCCCACCTTGGAAGAAACAAAGGAACAAACCCATCCTTGGGGTTTAAGAAAATTCTATTTCGGTCAAGACATTTAAGAATCTTACCCCTTAGCTGCAATTTTGTTTATCTTAGGATGGTGGGAAAAATATTCTACCAATCTTTAAAACGATGCATTTTGTAATAAGAAAAATACCAATCTAACCATTTTCAGTCTACCTGTGCACTCCCAAACGATCACTTAAATTACGGACACATTTAAAGGAAAACTGCATAGAATTTGCAGACCTACTGGCATAGATGCCACACGAATCTGGAACATCTATTATTGCCTATATTTTCATATTAAACGAACGATGTAATGAAGACATTTATGACTACTATTCAAATGTTTCCACTGTTATTGGTAAGTCTATAACAAAAACAGCAGACGATACGTGCTGTTTCTTAAAGCAAATTAAAGATAAAACAGCGCTATCATATATTATTCACTTGATTAAAGTTTCAGTAAGATAAATGAGTTTTGAAATGATAAAACAATTACGTTGAATTGACGTCGATAAAAGTTTGTTTGTTTGTTTGTTTGATTTTGTTTAACGTCCTATTAACAGCTAAGGTCATTTAAGGACGGCCTCCCCTGTGTGCAAGATGCATGCGTGTAATGTATGTGTGTGTATTTTGGGAGGCTGCGATATGTTCGTGTTTGTCTCCTTGTGATAGCGCGGAACTGATGCCGACTTTATAGTGCTACCTCACTGAGACATACTGCCGAAGACACCCAGCAGGACGCCCAATAATGTTGATGAAAGCAGGAGTATTCAAACTATATTTTTCTGCACTGCAAAAATATATTGCCACACTGAATTAAAATGCAAATATTGTTATGTTATGTTAGAAGGTGGCTGGTTTCGGCTTGATATTTTGTATAAGGTTTATATGAAAAACAATAAGAGAATACCGAAGTGTCAACAAAACAATAGTGCGAAAATTAAAAAAAAAAAATAGGGGAAAATGTAACCGAAGGAAAAATTACAATGATAATTAGACCAAATGTTCCAGAATGGTAAGAGTCTTTGTCTTTATTGACGACACCCGCCAAGTTTGGTTTGGTTTTATTTTGTTTAACGTCCTATCTGTTGATGATAATTATGCGTTTCGTATAAATATACCACTAGTCTGTATTTTGAATACACGGAATCTGTAATATCATGTAACCTCTATCCCATAATACTCTCTCGTGTAATAAAGATGGCTACCTGCCAGTATTGCCTGTAACACGTGTTTGTGTTTGTGCGAGTTCTCCTGTCAGTAGAACGTCCCAGAACGGTCAACATGGTGGCAGCGCCGTGGTGAGTGTTTTGGTAAAAGCACTAGGTATAGCACTGTTTATGCTCGAGTGACTCTGATAAGTTACTTTCACCCTGATCGCCGCCGGGTGGTGTTGACAGATGCCCCAGTGAATAATGCATTCGCTGCTTCGTTACGGTTGCCCCCAAAGCTTGACATTAACTCCAGCAATGTGTCTTTAAACGCTGGAAGCGAGAAGTACAGATATATTTATCAGCTTCTGGTGGTGGGGCGCGAGCAAAACCCGTCCAAACAGCAATTCTCTTGAATTGTGCGGGGTCCCACGTGCTTGAAATTTATGACCAAATGACGTGGGAAGAGAACGCCGGCAAGGATGATCCAGTTAAAGTTTTGAAGGCATTAGAGAAATATTGCAACCCTCGTGACAACGAAGTGTTAGAATCGCATCGATTTTGGAATGTGCCATACCAGGAACCATTTGACAAATTTCTGACTGATCTCAAAACTAAAGCATCTGCGTGCAATTTTCAAGAAACATAGCGGATGATGCGCGACAAAATCGTGTTTACCGTAACCGGGAAGTTACAGGAACTTTTGTTGAGGGAGGATAAACTTACCCTTTATAAGGCAGTCAAAGTTTGCAGGGCGTTCGAACAGTCAAATAAACAAGTGAAGGAAATCCGTGAGATTATTAATAACCCCCTGAAAGTGAACAAAGTGACTCATAAACCTAGCCCGAAAGCTAGGAAACCTGGTCCAAAATCACAAAAACAACCAAAACATCAAGTTAACCCTCGCAACGAACCTGAATGTTCATGTTGTGGCTATCGACATGCTAGACAAAAAGAGAAATGCCCAACATGGGTTGCAACGTGTGACTTTTGTAAAGGCAGAAACCACTTTAAGGCCAAATGTAAAGAAGTGCACGCTGTTTCGTGTCACACGACACGGAGGATGAAGACGAAGAGGCGTGGCTTATGGCAGTAAATAGTGAACGAATACATGCGTCGTTAAATGTAAATGGTAACACCGTCAAATTTCAGCTAGATAGTGCTGCTGACGTAAACACAATTTGCCAAAAACATGTGAGTAAGCCACAAGATACTCCTACAAAAGGGAAGTTGAACATGCAGAACAAAACTAACTTAAAACCTCTTTGCGAGTGTACCCTGAAGGTTACTAATCCTCGCTCAGGTATTGAATCAGACGTTATATTTGTTGTTGTGCCCAATGGACTCACCAATCTGTTGGGTTTGAAGACTATTCACGAACTTGGATTTGTGACAATAAATGACGACTGTTTCATTTCGCAAGTGACAAAGCCCCCACGTATGCTAGATGATCTAGGGGAGGCAACTCTGCATACCTACGATAGTGTCCCGCCTAAAATTCTACCGTGTTGGAAAATACCAATAGCTATGCAGGCTGCCGTAAAGGAAGAGCTGGATCGTCTCGAAGAATATGGAGTGTTTGTTCCCGTAACTGAGCCTACCAGGTGGGTCAGTGAAATAGCCGTCGTTCACAAGACTAACGGAAAGTTGAGATTGTGCATAGAGCCCCAACCGTTAAATACCGCATTAATGCGTGACCATTACAGACTTCCTGTTCTCGACGACCATATGGCGACTAAGGAGGAATTATATTATTTCGCAATCAATTCCTTCGGTTACATGAAGAGCAATATCCCTTTTTACTTGCATGTTTATTCCACTTATCGTTTCAACCATAACAACATCTTCTATTTTAGCTCAGGTAACAATAATGGCTCTTGTGCTTCTTGTATTTATTCTACATCAGCACAGATTGACCTTGATATTACGTAAGGGTATTCACTGTTCTTGTTACACAAAGCACAAATACCTTAGCGGCTAATTTGTATTCACGTTATTTTCATGCAAATATCACAAGTGAAACGTAACCTTACCTATTAAATGTATACACATCTTAAATGATCTATTGCACCCCAAAACAATACGGACTTAATATTGCACTAATTAATAGACAAAATAAGTATAACACTTATCATATTACGGCAGGCGTTCGTTTTACCGATATAATGGCTTTCAAATGTATGTGAACAATGGTACCTGCTCAATATTGGTTTGGTTTGGTTTAATTTTGTTTAACGTCCCATTAACAGATAAGGCCATTTAAGGACGTACCTCCATATGTGTAGTGTATGCGTGCTTGATATAATTTTCTGACTGAATAAACCATATATAGCGGAACGAAATATAAATACTTCGAAAAGAGAAAAATACTATGCTAACACGCGTCGAGATAATATCCTTCAAGTACAAAGTATATACACGAACGAACCTTATGATCAAGGATGACAGAAGGGACACTATGCATATATCTAGGTTCGATTGAGGTATAAGACACCGCTTTCGTCTTTCCCTTTGATTGCAACGATCTGACATTTATACAGCTGCATTGGAGTGCCCAACTTGCTAACTGTTAACAAGCATGTTTGACTAAAAATAATTGAATTACCAACATATTGAGAAATCAGTGACCTTTTGCTTCTAAGTGTGTTAAAGATCTATACATACTTATGCATTGTATATATAACCCTAAATAGCTATTGTATAGACTATTCAGTTTAACTAACAACCAATACAGTGTAACTATATAATACCATGTAACAATATAGAAATGTTGCATAAAATGGTGTTCCTTCGCTAATGATATGCCTTCTACTGTCTAACTCTACCATTTATTGAAGTGTTGCTTAGTAAGCAACATGTACTCCCTGCACTATATTGATTTATTACATTTGTACTATTTAAAATGTCCAAATACTTGTTCAAAAAACATTGTTAAAGTCACTATAATGCTCGCA